TGGCGGCTCCCCGCTTATGCAAATGAAGCCCGGGAAATTCAAATCCCGGGCTTCATTTGCAAGTGCGGTATGCCTACATTACCCTCCTAGTTCGAACTAGCGGGATAGTGTAGACATACCCCCAGTGACTTAAAGGGCTCAGGGCTCCTAGTACTGCTGTTGCCACAGTAATGGCAGCAGTGGCCCAGAGCCACAGGCCCTTTTCAACCTCCAGGCCCCAGGGCAACTGACCTTTTCCCTACCCCCCTCCCATCAGCAGCCCTGAGAGGGCATGAGCTAAAGCTTGAGTGCTGCAGATCCTGGAATAATGAAGTGGGGACTTTGCTACTCCGTGCTGCTAATCTAATCTCTATGGGCAGCCCGAGTGGCATTTTGCAGCATAGTCGCTCACAATGCAGCTACCCGAGTGTGAAACTGGTGTAGAATATTCGAGCTAACAGGGTTTCCTGGTGTCCGGTTTTGAACTGGACAGTCCAGTATTTGAACTTTCTGTTTGGAAAACAAATTGAGAAAATATAAATGAGGAAATATAAATGTCTGGTATCTTCTAAATAAGATGTAATGTAGATTGTGATGTGATGTTAAGTGTGTCCAGTATTTATGTTGAAACCATCTGGCAACCCTATGAGCTAACACTCGACAGCTAAGGATGAGTCCGCTGTCTTTCTGTGCCCGGTTATCTGCCTGAAAAATGGGGCTAACAGTACTTCCCTATGTCCCTACCAGAGACCTATTGAGTATAAACCCATTAAAGCAGGGTTGAGGAACCTAAGGCCCGAGGGGTAGATGTGGCCCCTAGCTTGCCTGGACACAGCTCCCAAGGCTCATGGCTCCCCCCCCCTTGGGGAGCCCACACTGGTACTCCAGCCCCTCTGTTACCCCACCAGGGAGCTGGAGCACACAAAATCTACTAGTGGTCGCCCACCACCACCACCACTGGCTCTGGTGCAGGGGAAAATCTTCCTGCTTCTCAGTTGGGAGCCACATCAGAGTGAAGGTGGTGTTTTGGAATGGGGGGGGTTGCTTTGCTTCTCACTTGTGTGTGAACCCTGACTGATTTCTGTGGGACAGCAGCCCCTAACCCAAAAAAGGTTCCTCGCTCCTGCAGTAAAGACTGTGAAGTATTTAGAAACTACAGGTTTGTCTACCTAGCCAGTTTGTGAACCTACAGTGCAGCAGCTTGCAGCACAATAACATCTTATATGGACGTTTTCAAGTAGTGCCAAGTTGTATTCTGGGACTTCCAGTGAACTGTAACAACGTCCACATGCTGCACAGCAACTTGGTGCACTGCAGTTTCACAGCCTGGCTTGCTGCACAATAACCTACAGTGTTGACAAACTCTAAAATGGACAGAATTAAGCTATTGTATAAATATATCCAATTCTGACTAAGCTGCAGTACATTGCAGGGAGGAGAAAGGCTCAGTTTCTCTGTCACAAAACAACATCTGTTTCTTCATAAAAACGTTCAAGTAGTAAAATTTCTGCTATTATATTGAACTAAATTTTTGGCTAAGAACTGACTGAAAATAACACTACAAGTCAGTAAATTTTTGTTGTTTATCTCCTCAAAACATTAAGTTTGCATAGTGAATTGAGTTCAGTGTGAAATATTTTTTTGCCTCTAATGAACCAGCTACATAACATCTGGATATACAAATCTCTGCTTTCTGATTGCACTAAGAGATGAGTATGAACTTTATATCCCATTTGTACATTTAAATTTTAAAAAGGGATTTCAAAAGCACAACTGCATTTTTTCCCTTGCTTTAATGGGAAAAATATCCAGATATTTCCAAATAAAAAGTTCAGAATGAATGTAATAGCCAAATCACTTTATGCTGTAATTAAGCCAGAACTTCTTATTTTATCTTTGAACAGGCTGAATCAGCACTTGAATGGGATGTCTCCAAGGGTTTGTACAAAGTTGAGAACGTGATACAAATTCCCCCCTGATTTTATTCAAGATCATGTTTGAAGCACTGATTGTCAGAGGGACATCTTTTGGATAAGACATAAAACAAGATTCCCTGATCCACATTCCCTTTAAAGATCTGAGAGCATTTTGGCAACAGAATGAGTATTAATCCCATGGTCCTGACCAAAAATCTTCTGTAGTTATTATAGTCTGCAGAGACTCTCTAATTCAGCAGGGACTTTGGTGGCTCCAGTCAGCACTACTAACTGGGCTGTTAAAAGTCCAGCTGGCATAGTGGTAGCAGGTGCCCTAACTAGCTCCATTTGGCTCCCAGAAAGTGGCCATCATGTCCCTCTGGTTCCCAGACTTAGGGGCAGCCATGGGGGCTCTGCGCACTGCCCCTGCCATGAGTGTCATGCTCCACAACTCACAGTTGCCAGGTACCATGGGCAACAGGAACCGCAAGGGGCAGCACCTGTAGGTGAAGGCAGCTCACATATCTGCCTGGCCATACCTCTGCCTAGAAGCTGGAAAGTGCTAGTTCCTGGGAGCCACCTGAGGTAAGCACCACCCAGAGTTCATACCCCACATACTCCCATGCCTCAACCTCCTATTCCAGCCCTGAGTCCCCTCTCACACTGAAATTTCTTCCTGGAGGCAGCACCCAACCCCCAGCAATGAGTCTCCTCTTGCACCTACATTTCCTTCTGGACTCTGAACCCTGCACCCCAATTCCCTACCCCAGCCCTCACCCCTACACTCCAAACTCCTCATCCCCAGCCCAGAACCACCTCCTAAACCACAAATCCCTCATTCCTGACCCCATCCCGAGCCTGTTCCCCCAGCTGGAGCCTTCACCCTCTCCTGCATCTAACTCCCCACCTCAGCTCAGAGCCCCCTCTCATACACTGAACCCATCAATTCTGGCCATACTTGGAGCCAGCACCCCAATCCCAGAGACTGTAGCTCCTTCCACACCCCAATCCTCTGCCCCAGAGAAAAGCTCCCTCCTGCATCCCAAACCCCTCATTT